TGCATGTACTAAGCCTTTGACATGTTGGCAGACAGAGCTGATTCTTGGATGCATATCTGAACCTCTACAGGTCTGTTTTTGGCAGAGTCGAGTGTGACTCTTATCCCTTACCCATTAAGCTATCATTATGGCTTCCTTATCTTTACTTCTTCTGCAAACATGCCTTTGAAAGTGTTTGGCTCTTTTGGCAGTTTATTTGATAATGTACAAGAGTAGAAGGCATGGGTCTTATTTCTGTATTATATGATATTTCTTCAAATGAAAAGGGGAGGACTTAAGTGAAGATTTGTTGTAATAAGTTGGTAGCTCTGGTGGACTTGTTCTCAATATGGAATTCTTTCCTAAGAGTTCGATTTAAGAATGCTCTATGAAAACTACTTAATTGCTTGTTTAGCTCAGAAAAAGTAATGTGTTCCTATCTGAGCCTGATGCATATACATATCATAAGCTTTTTCTGATCACTGTAAATTATATAACTGTGTTCAGATATACACTATATGGTTTATAAGGGGGAAGCTGGAATCTTTTGTATTTAGACTTTGGTGTTTAGGGTGTTTGTTACCAAAGTTGGAAGAAGCATATTTCAAGAAAGGTGGTCGTGTGTAATTGCCATATATGGAGTCTTTTCAAAGCCCTGATGTGATTTCCTCTATGTTGGAGCACGCCTTAGCTACTAAACAAAGCTAAATCTCCGTGGTAGTTAATGCTTAGTAATTATCTCCTCTGTAACAAGACTGCTTCTGTGTTCCTTCTGTTGAGATGTCAAAGCTAAATGAATTTGTTGATGTACGTCATGTAAAACATTCCAAAATTACTAGTTATTCATTGAAGTTTGATTCTGTTTGAAGCACTCTTAGTGTTTTGAAATTCTTCGAACAAAAGAGGTACTATAAAACTGAATTCCAAACCTGGGAAACTATTCACTGTAGACTGAAGATTCAGACTGATCCACCTAGACTGCTTTCAGGTAGTACAGTCGCCTGCAGGACACATGGCCAGACATGGGCTCCAAAGGTTTAGCATGATTTTAGTGTAATTGGAGACTGTCCCTGTCAGATAAGCCACCTTATAAACAGGGTAGGGGAAGAAAACTCTTTCTCTTCATTGATTAAAATGGAGCCATTCACTGGTTCTACACGTCAATAATATTTTAATTCACTCTGTAATCACAGAAAAATCCAATTAAGCTTTTATTTCTGGGCTGGGTAAGGTGGCTCACGCCTATAATCCTAACTCTCTGGCAGAGATAGGAGGATGGCTTGAGCTCAGGAGTTTGAGACCAGCCTGAGCAAAAGCACAACCCCATCTCTAC